TCTTTCTTTCTTTCTTTCTTTCTTTCTTTCAAATAGTGACATTAAAACACATTTTAGGCTAAATATTGAGAAATGTGCATTGTGCACAAGTAGTACTCCAAATAAAGTTTAATTACATTTTTTATATCAGTAAGTATCGAGTGATATGTCAGTAAATAGACAATAAATAAAGTAAATAAAATGTTAATAGATTTAAACTAGTATGAAATAAATGCATTTTAAAATATATTACTTTTTTAGGGTTTGTAATTTGAAAAAAATATGTTAGCAAATACCATTAACTGAATGATACTGAAGTAATGAATGAACTAAATTAACTAATTATTATTAAGAAGTCAGAAGTCAGAAAGAGCTTAATTACCAAGTATGTTTACACACACAAGGAATTTGACTTGACGACAGGAGCTTCCAGTGTAGAAGAAAGTGTAGACATAGATCAGACATCCATGATAGTGCAGACATACATAGGAATTACACCGTAGAGTTGGAAATATAACACTAATATAAGAAAAACAGACAATTAAATAATGCATATACAGAAGTAGAAAGATAGTTTAGAAATATTGCTTAAATTAATGTACAGATATGTTATTTACAAGTGTGCAGTTTACAAATGTAAAATTTTCGGATTCTATGTACAAATGTGTCAGTTATGATGGACAACATATTGTTATGAATGTTTTAATTGTTCAGGCTGAATATACTGTAGCCTGTGGGGGAAAAAATGTTCTGGTGGTCAGTGCTCTGTAGCATTCTGTCCATTTCACCCAAAATGTCGCTTACGCCCCTCTGGTTCTCACCCCTCAATATGTTTCATATGCATTTTTTTTGTCGTGTAACAACTAGAGCTCTTTTTTTTTACTTTACATGCACTCAGTAGTGAACCGTGACTCTTGAGCCTAGGCCCTCTCCCCGTATCCTCGTCAGGGGAAAAAACTACCAGCCTAGCTTACGGTGTCCTCTTGTAAAAGTAATCTTTGACAGTTCCACCTCTGAAACAAGAGGCTATC